AAATAAACAGACAGGAAGATAGACAAACAGAGATAAATAGATCACATTTTTATGGCATGTTTTAAACGATGGATTTAAAGTTAGTTTAAAAGCATTTAATGTGTTTGATTAAGCAATCTTTTTTGTCCACGAAATGAGATAAGAAAAGACAGGTAGCGTACACAAGCAATACGTAATATCACTGCATTTATACTTGTAATTAGATAAGTATAACGCTTATTTTACGCACTTCTATGATAGCATTTTGAATAGACATCGGTATCAAGGTAAGGTTTGGTTCAGGGGGAAGGGGACGGAAGGGGATGAGAACGGGAAGGAGAAGACTTTTGGTAACTAGAGAGAAAGGCGGGGGAGGTGGGGGAGAAAGGGGAGAAGAGAGAGAGAAAGAGAGAGCAAAATGAACAACGTAGAGAAGACCATGAAAACACATGAATATTCGTGTTTTCTTGTGCTTCCCTTCCTTGCTCCTTTTGCAATTTGACATAATTCCACAAGAGAGAGAGAAAGATATGGAGAAAAAGAAAGAGAGAAAGAGAGAGAGAGAAAGATGGAGAAAGAGAGAAAGAGATGGAGAAAAAGAAGAGGGAAAAGAGAGAGAGAGAGAGGATGGAGAAAGAGAGAGAGATATGGAGAAAAAGAAAGAGGGAGAAAGAGAGAGAGAGAGAGATGGAGAAAGAGAGATGGAGAAAAAGAAAGAGGGAAAAGAGAGAGATGAAGAGAAATAATACTATGCTGTCACTGCTTTATTTATTTATTTATCTATTTTACTTCCTTTGTCTTTTCACATTGGACTGATACGGAAATGCCTGGAGTCTGCTAACAGAGGAAAAGTGATCATGGTAATTCTCCTTAGGAATTTCACGGCGAAAATCCCTGAAGGAGTTTGCAAAGATTTCCTGCCAAAGCGCTTCTAAGTCTGTTTTCCTCAGTGAAGTAACGAACGAAACTGCTAACCTTAATCAACAAGTTTTTATGGGTAAAGAGGAAAATGACAAAATACGTAATCGCTTCTTATAATTTTGCAAGGTGTGAAAAATGTTGCTTTGGCTTTTCATTATATTTTTCTTCTACAGAGTAAGACACCCAACGGCACACACTCACACGAGGCAGAGACAGGAGTAAAAAAGGGGGTGAGAGATCATGCAAGAAATGCAGTCTTGGGTCTAATACTTGGCACGCTTGACCCTTTCCGTTGCGTGTGAATGACGACGCTTTAAGATGGACACGAAGTTTTATTTTCGGAATGCTGTTGACCTCGATAGTGTCAACGTTGACACCAAAGGTAGCTGACGAGCCATCTGATTACAGACTAAATTCTCTACTCGACTGCTGTTGCATAAACCTCTCCCAACCCATTCCTGTTGCCTCTCGACACCGTGGCCGAGGGAGTAAGGGCGCCAGATTCGACACACATTCACACACACACACATACACACACACACACACGCACGCACGCACACACACACCACACAAGGTACACAGAGACCTCTCCCGAAACATTCCTCTTGCCCCTCGCCACCGTGGCCGAGTGGTCAATGTTATTATCACCATCGTCATTGTCATATAACCATGATCAGTAACATGTGCGCACACACAAATACACATACACACGAACACACACACACGCACGTAAGCATGCACACAAATGAACACACACATGTTGCATAAATACCTCTCCCAACCCTTACCTCTTGCCCCTCGTCACCGTGGCCGAGTGGTCAATTTTATTATCACCATCGTCATTGTCATATAACCATGATCAGTAACATGTGGGGCGCACACACAAATACACATACACACGAAACACCACACACGCACGTACGCATGCACACAAATGAACACAACATTTTGCATAAATACCTCTCCCAACCTTACCTCTTGCCCCTCGCCACCGTGGCCGAGTGGGTCAATGTTATTATCACCATCGT